TAGAGATCTCAATCCTACCATGGCTACCTTTGAGCATTGGCTGAAAGATCACTGGAAACTTTTGCAGTCTGAAGTCAAGTGCTGTGCAGGCAGATTCAGACCAAAATACTATTGGAGATCAATTGAGTTTCCACAGAAATGAACTGGAAGTTTGTGAAGCTCTGAGAGGCAAGACCTCTTGCCATGTCTGCAACCCTAGTATTTGTTAGTGCTTCGAGCATTACTTCCTCAGCTCAGTTTCAAACACTGAATTCATATTCCTAGCTCCCTTGGAAGTAGGTACTTAGCAAGCAGCATTACCCACACCTTCAAGCCTTTCACAGCTGCTTGCTGTGGGTGCTCACCATCACTGATGCTTGGTCCTTTGTGCTCTGGTCTCTTCCTACGACCATGACAGTTTTCTTTCCCAGCCTCTGATGAGTCGTAGTAGCTGTCATGCCAGTTCCGACCTGCCAAAGTCCTGGCTCTGACATCTGTATGGAGCTTTAAAAGGATTTAGGCTGAGATTTAGCTTTGATCCTCTCTGGGCCAAACTGTCAAATGGCTTTGAGGGTTGCGCTCTGTTACGTCTTCCTAACCCAAATAACTCCTGGCTGGCCTAATCCTTCCCAGGCTGGAGTTTCTGTCTCTGCTTACCAGCTCCTTTACAAAGTTTTGCACCTAAGGGTATTTTCTCACGTGTAGTGACGTGGCAGCAACCTCAGCCCTCGTCACAGCATCGGATTTTGTGAGGAAGCTGGTGGGAGGTGCAGTTTGATCTCCTTGCTGCCTGTCTCAGTTTGGTGCCCCTGAACTGACTCTAGCAACGTTTCTCTTCCTTGTGTTCCTTCACAAGATAAAATAGTGGAAAGTGCAGCTGATTTGTCACAAAGTATCACACCCTGGCCCCTTGCCTCCATTAAATGGGCACAGAATCAAGAAGAGTTATTTCTCGTATACCAAAGTGATTCCTTATTCTTATTTCACATGTAAGTGTGCTAGCCATATTAAAATGCTCCTGCTTCTTTAGAAGACTTCTCAATGACTTGTGTTTTCCAGACTTGGCATGTTTACATTCGCAGTCTTAAGTTGGCGATGATTCATTCATGCTTCTTTATCTTGTCATCTTCTACCTAAAAATATCGAATGCCAGGAAGGCTAGAAAGCAGAGGGTACCGGTATAGTCTAGATATTTTTCTTCGCTCTTCTCCCAGTTTATTGTTTTCAGTATCTTGCCTTCTTTTAAAGGCAGCACAGAGACTAGAAATAGCACAGGAGCTGCAGTTAACTGCCCCCCCCCCCCCAAACAAGGCTGTGGGCTGGGAGTTGAGGATGTCGGTGGTCTCCGATCTGGAGAGCGGAGGTGGGGTCTTGGCTGTGAAGCCCTTTCAGTCCCACTGCTTGGGGACTTGGCAGAGTGTGGCACTGATCTCTCTGTCTTTTGCTCGGTGTGTTGCCTGCCGCATCTACTGGAGACTGGTGGTCTCGGGTGATTTGGAAGTACTGCCATCGATTTTCAACACCTGCAAGAACCAAACAGAGAAAATCCCTTTGCTAGATACAGGGGTAATTTTAGAACTTGTCTGTTGTTGCCAAAGCCTCTCTGTGAAGGAGTTAGGGGCACAGACCTGCTTTGTGGAGAGCATTTACTGTGATGAGGGGTGCAGGAAACGGGCAGCAGTGTTTCATGGATACAGCTCAAAACTGCACAGATATAAGCATCAGAAATGTTTCCTTAGAGGGAGGAGGGCCAGATACATCATAAAATACTCCTGACTGATTTTGACTGGAAGGATACAATGATGAGCCTGGGAATAAACCTCCTCAGACAGCTAGAACAAGCACTACTGAGCAGCAACCTGTGGACACATGGTGTAGTGCTGACATTCGTTTTAATTTTTAATTTAAAAAAAAAGGTACCGCAGTAAAGACATTCACCATTAGCTTGTTGACTTTGAGCTTCTGGCTACCTTCTGCACTTGTAAAAATCTCCCCTTTTGATCATTCTTCAAACAGGAAATTTTATTCTCCTAATTCCTGTCCCACAATTGGCACTGCAGGAGTGAACCTGTAAGCCTGCTCAGAAGCCCATTGAACTCATCTACATCAGTGAGCCTTGGCCTCAGACAGCTTGGAAGACTTTGGTACCTCAGCAGGGCCTATTAGAGCGAACACAGTAGCTGATCACAGCTTCTGATTTGCGCTGGCGAGGGTCTGGCTGGCGGAGTGTGTGTGGGCAAAGCAAGCTCATCCCTGCTGGCAAAAAGACTGCAGAGTCTCTGCCCTCGGTTCATCTGTTGCTGTGTCTTGCGAATTAAAAAGCAAGGAGAGGAAAACTGTAAGGATAAACCCGGAGAAGAAAATGGGAGGAGAAAAAGACCGCTTTTAAATTTTATTTGTGCTTGTTTATTCTACAGCAGAGTCTGGTGACCAAGACGAGCATAATACGCATATCGTGAGAGAGACAGCCCCACCGTCTGCGATTGATAGCCACACCAACGTTCCCACCACGGAACCATCTCAGAACCTCCCTCAATACCTACCTCCTTCTGCCGAGGATAACCTAGGTCCTCTGCCGGAAAACTGGGAGATGGCCTACACCGAGAATGGAGAAGTCTATTTTATAGAGTAAAGCACATTTTTGTTGTTCTAATTCCATTTCTCTCCCTCTCTCTCTGGGCATAAGTAAACCTCCATGGATGCATTTTGTGTATGTATTTGTGCATATTAAATATTTAGTGCATAGTTATGTTGCAGAGCTGTAAGTTCTTTACTGCTTCTGAAGGGGTTGTGCATTTCCTCATTGGCTTAACATCCAAATTACTCCTGAGTTCAAAGGCGGGGGGAATTGGTCGTCTTATGAGGGTAGTTACAAAAGCAACAGACACTTATAAAATATGGGCCAGTTGTTTTCACGGGTGGAATGAAAGCTCCTAATTGAAAGGGCTGAGACTTCATTTCTGGAGCCTGCCTCTGTGCATAATGCAGCAGAGAGAATTCCTCCGGTCACGTGCTCAGGCAGTAGCAGAGCCAGGGAATGGACTTCGTGTGTTGTCCTCTCGTCAGAGCAAATGGGCCAAACGTGTTAACATGCTCCAGTGGTTTGCAGAAGGCATAGCTCAGTGCAGAGTAAGTTTGGAAAAGCAAGAAGTACCTCGTGTTCTGCAGACTTTGCCTAAGAGCTGAGTGCTGTCAGCAGTTTTATGATGATATTGATTTTTTCATGCCATAAATAATAGTCTCTAATTATACTTGTCTAGATTTATTGAGATAGGAGTAACTTATAAAATGGGACCTGTTAGTGGAAGAGATTTCTTACACAGAGTTTAGCTAGACATTAAAATTCAATTAGCTTTTGAAACTCAAGCCCTTAGCTGCCCAAGTAGAGGAAGGGGGTGAAGAATTGATTTTGGACTTGATGGGCTGTTTAATGCAGTCTTGGAAACTGAGATTCTCTGTCTGTGCACCAGAAGCCAGAGGCCAGTTCGTACAGAAGAACCTCCTCTGCTAATGCCCCTTCTGGGACTCTGGAGAGCCATGCTGGATTAGGGCAGCGAGGGGAGCAGTCCTGCTCCGTCATCAGGAGAGGGGACTTTTGGACAGTGCCAAGGAAAGGTTCATCAAAGCAGGTTTTCCCTTGGCTGCAATGGCAGGGGAACACATCAGAGAAGAGTGCCAGAAGATCTGAGGATCTGGGAGGACTGAGAGCATGGCAGCAGCTCTTCACCAGCTGGGAGAGGGCTGCTGTAAAAAAGGCCATTTTCCAGGGCGCTCTCAATTACCTGAAGAGGCTCCACCAACCCCCTAGCGTAAGCCAAAGTCTAGAAGGCACAATGCAAATTCTCATCAGCTGCATATCAGATGAAACTGAAATGTGTTCATTATCCTGAACATGGTGTTCTGCCCCTCATTATGTCCTCAGGGTGCCTCGTTCTTTGACGTACTTTCTGGCTTTAATGTATATAACACAGCCTGAGTAATAGCCCATCCAGCCTGCCATTTTCCTCCCTGGAGGAGGACAGATGATGAGCAGTAAATGCTGCGCAAGCAGCCGGTTGTTGCCTTTTTTGTCCCCATGTGGGCCCCTGCTGTCCTTCCTTACAGGTGCTTCGGCGAGGGGTTCTGCTGCTGCCACCAGTTTCCCCCAAACCCGTCCCCATCGCTGCTATGTTCTCTGCTTGTGTTCCCTTAGCAAGGCAAGACTGTAGCACCTTAAATAATTCATTAGACCTTTTGCAGGAGAATCATATATGTGGTGGAAAAATATAGCCTGCATACAGGGCTGTCTGTCGGACATGAAACTCTGGTAGCACACCAACTGCTTCTTTCCCTGCAGTGCAGATTGACCATTTTGAGGATGCATATGCATAAGGGGTGATTTTTGTGCAAGAATGTGTTAGTGTGGATGCAGCACTGAATGACTGCAGTTCTATTAATTCTAAGGACAGCCTGAGCCTAGAAACAATTTAGTTTGATTTGTATCAAATTAAGAGAGCAAGCTAATGAGCTGTGTGGACCCAAGCTGGCTCAGATGTCTGTACCGTCATCTACAGCGCTTTGGGTTATCAAGTCAGGGTGCTGAAGGGAACAGTGTGGGAACATCTGAGCTGCTTGCACAGAACCAGCACAGGTCCAGTGGGGCCAGAGCTGCGTGTCGGGTAACCAATCCTGATGGCTTGTAGCTGAAGCAATTTGGCTCTTGAGATATGTTTCTCTGGTGCTTTAATTGGGATTTTCATTACCCAAAGTGTCCCAGTCCCTCGTTACCCTGCATGTAGATGTATAAATTTACAGGTCTAACACAATCCTGTCCCCTCTGAGTGTGTGACCTGAAAGGTGTTTAGCTAAACTCTCTGTGCCTCAGCAAACCACTGTTGCGAGCCTTTGGTGATCAAGACAAAGTTGCAAGAAATATGCAAATATTTCATTGCTCTCCTCCCACCGCCCTCTTTCTCAGCTAGACTACAGACTTTCTTATTTATAAGTTGGCAGAACCCCTCTGCTTTATTGATGTTAATTTGCCTGACTTGCCGAATTTCTGCTATTCAGTTTTCTAGTTGGCAATTAATTGCTCTGAAACATACAAAAGGATTAAATGCATTTGCTCATCCTGCCTTGGGAGGGCTAGGTAGTAGGATGTGTAAAACAAGGATCTTTTATTTACGCACTCGGATCCTAGGGGCAGGGCAGTGCCCTCTTCTTGCAATAAAGTACAAGTTTGCTGATCAGTTGTTAGTTCCTCAGGGATCATAGCCCTCATTACAGCATTTCCAGCTTTGGGAGACTGTTGTGAGGCTAAGGTTAAGTTTGTAAACCTCTCTGAGACCTTGAAGGAGAAGTAAATAGCATTACTACAGTATTGAAACTTAAAACTGTTAAGCAGTGTTAAAGGCTAAGCTAGATAAATGATACCTCAGGGACTGGAGGGCTATCTTTGCAGGTTATGTCTAAGATGACATCAGGTTGTAGAAGAGGCATTATATTCCAAGATTGTCTCCATATGCAAATGAAATGATGGGGGAAAATAATTTCTAGAAAAATGTATTTTAAGCCTGTTCACTATGCAGCCTTCACTGCTGGGACTGGCATCGTGATATTGTCAGGACGCTTGTAGAAAGGAAGAGTTGAAAGTAGAGAGGCTTCCATCAGAGGCTTTGACAGAACATTTTTATTTGTGTAATTAAAAAGTTTTCACTGGAAATTTTGCTTTTGACTAATGCTTGGGTCAAATCTAGACAAACGTCAAAGGTCTTTTGCAGGAACAAAGGTCACTGCGTGGTTTAGGGAGGAAGGGAAACTTCTGTCTTTTTGTCAGGAGGCAAATGGCTCAGAGGCAGCTCCTGGGATTAAGAAACAAACCACCAAAACAAAAGTTGGGAAATTAATATTATAATATTGCAGCTTTCACATGCATCCTTCTAGTCAGGAATGCTGATCTGTATATTTTCACTTTTCACCTTTGTGTTTTCAATACCAAGATTCTTGTGATTTGGTAGACTAGTTTGCAAAACATCAAATTGTAATGCTGTTTCTTCTGAAGCAAAAGTATGCCTTCAGGTCTGTTGAATAACAAAGAGGAAATATACTTTTATGTCACTGATACTTCAGCTCTGCTTTATTAACAAAGGTCATATTTCCATTTTTGGTTTCCAGCCATAACACAAAAACAACATCTTGGCTAGATCCACGGTGCCTGAACAAACAGCAGAAGCCTCTAGAAGAATGTGAAGATGATGGTAAGAGACTGAAAATAGTGAGATAATGTGTTTGGTCCGTTTCTGGTGGTTTTCTTCCTTTCCTTTTCTCTTTTCCGATAACCTGTGTTCAGAAATACTTTAAAAAAAAAAACGTTTATTAGTAAGTGCATAGAGACAATATCCGTTATGTTGTTGTAAAATCACTGTCTGTGTATGTAAGACAGCCACTGAGATGGCACGTCACTTAATAAAAATCAAAGAGGTGCTAGAAGTAGGATGCCTCTATTTTTGCAAAGGTATTCGAATAGTCGCTGGTGCTGAACGAGACTCAAAGCTTTCTAACACGTTCGCTCCTTGGATCGCTGTGTAGGAGGAAAGTGACTGAGTCTCTGCGTGCTCCATTGTGTTACGCTTCAACCACCTGCTCTACATGAATTTGAAAGAGTTATGTTGTTATTTCCTTGTTTGAGCAGAAATAACTCAATTGCTTCATTTCTACTGTTAAATTCTGACAGTCCACTTAGTGTTATGATTGCTGAAAACAAATTCCATTTGAAAGTGTAGATGTTTGCTATTGGAAATTTACACTGATGTAATTTTGTATTCCTTGAGATGTTGGAAATGCAAGCCACTGTCCAATTTAGAGCAGCCAAATACAGGACTGTTAAAGGAGGTTCTTTCCCTGCATCCTTTAGGAGATGCTGGAGGAAAAAGGGAATCATGATAAAAGTAACTTAAATGTTTGGGAAAACCTGTGTGGAAATTTTGGTCTACTGACCAGGAAAGGCGGTGGTATTCTAATGCATAATTTTGGCTAGCACAATGCTATCACGGTGGACATATCTTAAAAATTGAAGGGTTTACTTCGTCATTGTTGGTGCTGTTCTTGTAAAATTAGTTTTCATAATATGATTAACCTCCTACTGGCGTGAGTCAGCTCAATAAGAGTTACTATTTTACTCTGGAAAAGGATCAACTCACTTCATCCCTTTTTTGCTGGTAGGTTCAAATCTGGCCTTCAGAACTGCTGTTAGTATTTTTGCACATGCAGTTTTCCAACCTCTGCTTCCTTTCACATGTGAGATTTTGTAGGATGTGAGAATTTGCCTGTGCAGCTTTCACTGCCATGATGAAGCAGGTCACCAAGTTCTTAGTGCACAATGCAGCGTGCACCAGACCGCAAAGCCCAGGCAAAAACTGAGCATACAGAGCTGACGCCTGCTTCAGATCCTTAGCAACTGGCGTCATTTGTCAAGGAGCAAGTGGAGGGAGCTGGATTAATGAAGGCCTTGCTCTGCACCTAAAAATGGATATGTCAGTGGGTAATCAGAACTGGAGCAAAATTAAATAATAGCATATGCAGGCAAAGCTCCCTCCTCCTTGCAGTTAAGTGTTGCTGGCAATTTAGAGAGGAGGTTGCTAAGTCTCAGCACAAGCTTTCCTCTTTCAGAAGGTAGTTTTCCGTGAAGCACAACTTCTGTCCTGGCTTTCTCTACCAGCAAGACTCCCGCTACATCAATAGCCCCGGCAACGCCAACAAGCGGCACGTGCCACTGCGGGTCAGCGCGCCCCGCGCTGTGCCCTGAGACAGGGCAAGGAGCAGCCGTAGGATGAGCCAACAGCGGGTGGCTGAGCTCCTCTGTTAAACAGTTCTAAGTCTCCTCGCAGAAGGGAAAGTCTTTCAAACCTCTTGTCATCTTAGCAATTATAAAACAAGCATTGGGGTGATTTATTTAATTGGGATTAGAAACATACAGCTGGGTAACTTTTTGTATTCAATTAAGTTTATAATTTTACAGAGTAGTGGCATTTTTGTTTATCAGGTCCTTAAAATCAACTAATTTCATCTTTCCCCACACCCCTTCACTTCATTCACTAAGCTGCTCATTAACGAATATTTTTAACATTCAGTAGTTCAACCAGTTGCTTCATAGGTACAGCAGTGCACTGCACTGGTTTGCTTGGCTGCTCTGATCTTGCTTTGCACATAAGAATAATTATGCTTCAGAAAACAATGTGAGCACAAAGAAGAGAGAAGGTTATTTTTACTGCATCATAGAAGCTGGACATTTTTTGGCAAGGGTCACTGTTGGGAGTATTTCCACTGAGGTCAGTGGGACTCCTCTGCTGTGCTGTTTGGTGCGTGTGTGTGCGTGTGAGTTTTCAGGCTCGATCCCATTCTGTTTGTGGTTATTATAAATGTTAGATGTCGTTTCAGATTTGTTTGGGTGCAGTTGCCTTGTGTTTTTTCTTCGTCAGGATACATGTCCCTAACAAGTTTTTGGTCCTTTCCAGTTGTTTAGGCTATCAAAGGAAATTGCAATTCGTATTTCACACTAATGGTCCTAAACAACTGTTTTGGTAGAATATATTGCAAACAGGTCATCGAAGTGTTTTTTTTAGGTGTCCAAATTTTCAAAAGCAATGCTGTGACACTATATCTTCTGTTTGCTTCTATCATTCATTTATGTGGCTTATACTTTACTGTATTAGGTCCAGGATTGTTTTTACCATCTTTGTTCTGGTTTCGTCATCATCTTTCATTTTCAGACTGCATTATTATTATTTATAGGCTAAGCAATACTTTAATCATCTGTGTCACTGTTAACTTATGAATATGGAGCAGATAATGATAAATGGAGCAACAGTGAATATTGATGGCTTTGTGTGTTTGAAAAATTATGTGATCTTTGTCCCAGGTGCCCCGCTAAAACCGGTGCATTCCTGTATATGCCTCACCAGTGCATCTGGACGTCAGTGTGGGCCTGTGACTCCAGTTAAACAAGGCGCTTCGCTTCGCGTCTATCTTAAATCATCTGAGTAGTTACAGTCAAGTCAATTGGACCTTGTACGCACATAAATTTAGGTACTTTCTCGAAAACCTTGCTACCTTAGTTCTTATTTAGATGCAAGGTTTTCCCCTCAGATTTCTTCATTGGTATTCAGGTCTGGCCTGCTGATAGATCCATGTGTCTACAGAAAGGATTGCAAGGGTCAGACCATACGGATCTGAGGGAGAAGCTTCGCTACAGTGAGAACACCACAACTGTATTACTTTGCCGTTTCAAACTGTGACATGGAAGGTAATCAATTGATACAGATTTTTTGAGAATGCAAGAACCGGTTCTTTCATTATCTGCATCAGATCCATCAATATTCTGATCGCTAAAGTGTGATAAATGGAAAGCTTGGGCTCAGTCTGTAGAAAATTAGTGCTGGTTCTGCTGTTTGCTGTAGGGAATTTCTTGCTTGGTGCTGGTATCTGAAATTTTCTTTTAATTTTTTCTGTCTCATTTACTGCTCTTCCCTTGGAGAAGAAGGGGTACACACGGAGGAACTGGACAGTGAACTAGGTAAATCATCCATCTCTCGTTTTGATGTTTGACTTCAACTGCACTGTTTTAAGCCTTTAATTACTTACTTTCTCCTTTGTATCATTTTGCATCTTTTAGTTTTTTTTTTATTTCAACAAGCCTAATTTATCGGCAACACTTCCCTTGCACACAAAGCATTAATCTTCCCCTAGCTTCAGATCTACAGTGTTTTTCTTACTGGTTCAGAGTTTGAAGAAAGCTGGAGAGCCTTAATCTTACAAAGTTTGTTCAAAGTTGCTTCCTCCTGGACCCTGCAGAAGTCAGGGGCTTTTCCATTGGCATCACTGGCTCCAGGAAAAAGCTTATAGATGCCAAAGTTGAAACCGAGTAGCTAATGATGCTTTTTTCACTGGGGCTAGAGACATTTCCCAGGCAAAAGCAGCAAAGTGTGATTCAGAAAGTTTAAGAATTACATAGGATGCTTCTGCTGAGCTTGTGAATGAAACGGCAGAAAATTTTGCCTCAGTAGGTGATTTTATAAACAGATGATTTTTGATGATGTGGTACACTTTTATTTGCTGCATCTTTTTGTGAAGAATGCTGTCTTGATATCTAATCTCAGCAGTGCTCATTCTGTTTATACTGCTGGTGGAGGTAGTGGTTATTTTTGTTCAGCTATGCTCTAGTGCACTTGGAAGGCTGAAAGGCATAAGAGGTTGCATAGGATTTTATTTCCACTAGGTCTATTATTGCTTTTAAAGAGGACTATATTTACAGTTTATAGTTCTGTGTACTGGAGGATTGTATTACCAGAGAATTAACCTCTGGTTTCTGTAATGACTTGCAAGTGTATTCTGCTTCCCGCTTCTGTGTGATTGATAGGGCATCAGCAGCCAGCAGCTATTGAGTGGACTTTTAACACGACTCCAGGCACTGTTCTTCTGGATAATATGCCTGGAATGATGTTGCAGGCCTAACTTTTTTTAGTGCAAGAATTTGAAAGAAATGACAATTTAAAGAAGAATGCAGTCACTTTAGTGGTACGTCAGCATTATGCGCAGCTCATACAAATAATCAGCAGCAGACCAAGTAACATCAGAAGTAGGTGGATGCACACCAACAACCTGCAAAGATTTCTCATTAAGGTCTTTACAAAGGGTGACTTAAAATAAGAGAGAGTTTAAAAAGAAGCAGATTTAGAGTCAATAATGAAATGGAAACGTTCCCTTTTTTCAGTCTGATATCAGGATCTAGTGCAAGAGAAGAGCTGAAAAAACAGATGCAGGGAAACTCATTAATTGATAAGCCTGACCCCAGTTCTGCAGGCACTTACATACACAAGTGTTTTGCTCATGAGATATCGTGAGATGTTCCCTTTGTTTTAATGCAGATAAGCTTTATTGAGCTCACAGCCCATCGATACACTGTTGAGATTTGCAAATGTAAAGACATTTTCAAATGGCTCAGTTGGTTACAGCAACGTTAGGGAGGGGCATGAAAGCATACGGCCTATTCACTAACTGTACTCATGGTTAGTAAGAACTGATTGTTGCCAGATATTTAGCTCCTTAGTTAATTATTAAGTTTCTTTTCTAAATATAAGAAAATTAAAACTTGAAGCATGTGCACAACTTCTTGTTTTCCAAAGAAGTGGATTGAATATGGAGAAATAGATCACCTCTCTTTTAACAGAAGGTTATACGAAGGACACAAAAATTTGATCTTTGGAGTAGAATTTGACATACCCTTGGGCAGCTCCTCCTGGACCCACAGGGAGCAGTAAGAGCTGAGTACCCTGAAGTCATCTCCAGCTCCTTTATAGTGCTAGTGATGCATAGGCGTAGCTAAAATCCCTGGTGGTTGGAGCAGTTCTGTTTTAGGAATCCATCCATCCCCTCTGTAGGGTTGTATACTAAACAAGAGCATCTTAGTCGGAATCCATGTATTTACCCCAGGCTTAAAAGTATAAAACTGGATATTTGTCCATTGAATTTGCCTGCTGACAGATGCTCTGAGACTGCAGTGCTGCATAGATGTACCAAAATAAAAACCATATGGCTCGGTCTGACTCCTAATGATTCAAAATATTTTTGGAAATCTTATATTTGTGATAAAATCTAATGCTCTGGGTCATCTTCAGTTTGGCAGGAGAGGTAGAGAAGAGAGATGAATAATTTAAAGCCACTAAGGAGCCAGACTGTGCAACATGGCTATGGAGAACATTGCCTTTTGCTTTAGAGAAATTTCACGGGCTTTTAGAAGTTGGAAAGTGCATCTATGTAATCAACAAGTAATGTGTTGAAAGCTGCGGCGTTGTGTATTGTTACTTCCGAAAACACAGAAATGTGTTCGTTAAATGGAAATCTGCAGACATAGAAAACTGGAAAGATTTTGGCACAGTACTCTTTTTGGGGTTAGGAGAGTGCTGGTTTTCTGACCTTCCATGAAAATTCTTTAAAAGAAAAGAAAAAATAAAATTTAATACCAAAACTTTTTGTGAAGAAAGAAAAAGCAAAACATTTTTGTTTGAACTTTAAAAATCAAAACCACTTAGTGGTCCAAAATAGGTAAAAGATATTTAGCAGGAAAAATTGTGGAAAACTCATTTTAAGGCATTTGCGCATTGCTTCTCCCTTCCTCCATTCATTTTTTTTTTTTTCTTCCACCCCAGCTTGGTCTCTTTACCATTCTACTTTCACCGTAGAGCAAAGAATTAAATGACTGCCACAACTTGTGATTGTCCTAGGACTTAATTTAATTGCACTGAAACTCTTTAAGCCAGCCCCACAGTGTTTTCACCACGTGGGACTCCTTTGCAAACCTGAGTTCCCTTTGCGAAAAGACTTTCAAGATTGGGCTCTAGCTTTCTAACTTTTTCTCACATACACTTGCACGGTGTAAAGGAATACCTGTTTCTGAAGTGTTCATTTCAGCTCGATCTGCTGATAAAATTGTGGAGTATTTTCATGCCCGAAAGTTAGCACTGGCTTGCATTTAATGGCTTATGTCTCAAGGAATCCAAAGATGTTAAACCCAATAAGGATAAAATAATGATAAGAATGGAAAACCTACCTTATATCTTCAAATAAGGGACATGTGGAGCAAAAACCATGAAAATTGATTTCATCTGATCTCCAGCCAATTCTGAACACAAACATAAACTTTGAGTAATTAGTCCATGTGTGTTTGTATAGATTCTGTTCGTCTCCAGTCTGGAGATATTTCTATCCTTATGGCAACATAACTGAATTCTATAAATGCAGAACTAGATAGTTACACTTATTCTAATTAATCGGCCATTTGTTGATTGTATTGGCTCAGCAATTGATGCCACTAATGAAAACAGATCTTTGCATTTGATAATAAACAAGCATAGATTATTTGCTATCAGTCTTGTCAATTTAGTGATAAATTTTGAGGAATTATTATATGGAGTGCTTGAACTTGTGTTATCTGACAATGGCTTTTTTTTTTGTTATTATTTTTATTTAAATGAATGTGCAGAGTCTGTGGGGCAAGGACCACGCTTGCACAGTCCATAGCATGGTGGAGCCTTCTTTCAAGTTGATTCACAGTATTACACAAACGCACCACTCTGTTTTGTTAATGGGATGATTATTTCAGTACCCACAGCCAACGGGAACATTGTGTTTAAATGAGTGGGACAAGGATCAGGCCCTTAAGTAATACGTGCAGCTTTAATAACCCTCAGTTGGATGCTGAAGTGATTTTATTACATTCACTAATTATAGTTAAAGTACTATGTGCAGTCTAGAAAATCAACAGGAACAAAAGTGGATACATTTCCAAATGTTAATTTCATCCTCAGAACTGTTTTTGTTAATTATGCTAATTAAAAAAGGAAATCTCTGTTACATGTGATTATGGCAATATGTGTTTTTACATTAAGTGCTATGCAGTGAAATACATCTGTGTGTGCCAGCCCCACTTGGGTGGATTCCACATGCTGGGCGTTTACGTTAAACTCACTTTGTCCTGTTTCAAGATGCACTTTTGCGTTGGGCTCACAGATGAGCAATGCAGTGTAAATCCCTAAGAAAGGAGTAAAAAAAAGACTTCTTTCAGCAGTGGTGATCATAAATGGCTTGGCCCTTTTACAGGAGATGAAAGTGGTCTCTCTGTTAGTGTGCTACAATTGCTTGCCATAATCTCACCCATCTTCATATGCTGGCCCTAAAATGCCTCTGGCCTGTTGCCTGCATCGACTTCCACTGCAATGCCTCCATCCAGAGCCACGATGGTCAAACCAGGAGGGTACTTGAGGCACTCCCAGAAAGGAAATTTATTGATTATTTGTTCATTTAATGCAAAAAGCAAATCTAAAATTGACTGGCATGGGCATCTTCCCACTGATTTGCTAACCCAGCACTGGTGGGACTGGCTAAAAGGAGGCTGTGATTGTTCTGAAAACTGTTCGAAGCAAAGTCTGAGACACTGATGAGTTTTGCATGCTGAGCAGGACCTGTCAGAAAAAACTTCACTGGAGGCTTCAGTAATGCTTTTTCTATTTCCAGAGTTGCCTGCTGGTTGGGAGAAAATTGAGGATCCCGTATATGGTGTCTACTATGTAGAGTAAGTGCTGCTCTCTGGCTCTGGTGTGGCTTTTGGGTGGAGGAAGGCTTTTCTCTGCGGCGGTCTGTGTGCTTTCTTGGTAGCATCTCATACCAAAGAGGAGGAGACCTTGGCCCCTGTACAGGCTGGGGGATGCCAGAGGGTCTGGGAGAACGGTGCCTTGCCATTCCCCATCCTCTGGTAGGCTCTGGCAGCAGCACCGTGGGGTGGGAGGGGGCTCAAGGAAGACAGGAACACCCCAGGTAAGCTCCAGGGGTGAGCTCAGGGGAGACACGAGCACCCCTGAATGAGGGCATGCAGGAGCCCCAGCACCTTACAAAATACTTTTATCCAGAGAACATTAACAAGTCTGCAATTAACTGAGCTCAATCCCCTTCATATGGTGCTATGATCAAAATCGGAGTGTGCAAAGCAGACCACCAATTCAGTGACAAGTCAGAAGACACTCAAAAGGAGGAATGGATGGATGAGCCTGTGGGAGCAAACGACCACGGCAGAGGTTCTTGCATCAGGCTGTGTTGTTGTGAATAGAATTACAGGTTTAATGGAACTCTCTCCGGAATTAGAACAGCTTCTTCTTTATCTAGATGTCAGATCACTCCCTTGGGAAATCCCAGAGATCTGAGTTTCGTTTCATTACTGACCCCATAAAATGAATTTTTAATTATGTGTATACTCCTGTCTAGTAGGATGGCTTACGATAGCCCTCAGAATAGACATGGAATACAGTTTCTGTCTGCTTTGGCTCATTTCTGACCCTACCATCTGTGCCTAGGGAAACAAGGTTAGCAAACTGTGTAATTAAGGCTTGACATTTATTTACCAAAGACATTAAGAATATTTTTTGGCTATTAAATGCCATGCCAAGAGGTCCTTACAGCATTTTTTCCTGTCACTTGATATATACATGCCCATTAGTTTTGTGGCACTCCTTAGTGATGAAATTAAATAGAAAAGTAACAGCAATAAGACATAAGTTTATTTTACTTACTGTCTATAAGGTAGCAAGATGGTTATAATCTGAGCATTTGTCTCTGTCCCTTCCAATTCAGGCATTCTATTATTGCACAGTAGGTTTTTATTGAGAAACAGCTGTATTATGAAAAAGTTTATATCATTTTTAAAGTAGTTATTATTTTTCTTAACTTTCTGAAGATATCTTGAAATGGAAATCTTTTACAGGACTCATTAACTTGTTTTTATTTGATGAGTTAAATTTCTTTTCCAGTGATTTAATATTGATCTTTAGCAGAAAAATTCTGAACGTAACTATCTAGAGTGCTTCGATCGTAATTACTTGAAAAAGTGGTTGTTTGTTCATTCGGGGTTTTTTTTTTTTATAAAGATACGTGGGACAAGAGACAATGAAATATCGAGTTCTTAATGGTAAACTTTGTTTTGGATTTAAGGCTTTAAGGTAATATAATTTTCTGAGGTCTACCTGTTGCTCTGCTGTAGCAAAATCACTACTGAAAAATTGCTCTTGAACAGGTGATGAGCAGCTCATCTCGGCTGCAGAGAGTCCCCAGGCCTGCCCCCACCACCCTGGCATCTGTGGCTGGTGTTCGTCATTTGGTTTCATAAAATGGTTAATCCTCTGCAGAGTGTGTTGCTTGTCTGCTGTGTTTAGGGCTGGACTGTTTGTTTTTTTGGTTTTTTTTTTTTCCTGAGATTGGTAAGAAGCATTGGCTCTAAACATCTCATATGGGTCAAAAGCTGCCTAATGGCCCTCCAACGAGGACAGCTTGAAGTTTCACCAAATGCTGGTTTCCACTGGGAGTATTTGCTGGTGGCTGATTCTGAATGTGTTTTGATCCATTTGGAGCTCAGCTTTTCAGCTCATAGCCTGCATCCCCGCGGATATTTTTAAGACACCCTGTTAATAGTGTGCATTGATCAGATAGCTGACAGATGTTACCAGCTGTTGGTTGTTTTGTTTGGTTTGGGTTTTTTCTTTTTTTTAACTTCAGTGAGTCAGGGAATGACTGCACCTCTGGGAATTTGATTAAAGCAGGGATGATATAGGCCTGTCTTTTAAAATGCAATCAGACAGAGCTCCCTTTCTGCTTTAATCTCATTTTTCACAGATAGATCACTACTTTAATGTATTTGAAGGAATTAGCCATTCTTACTCAAGACATCGTATCAATACTGGAATCCGCTTGTTTTCCTAAACATGCTTTTTGGCCTGACTAGGTGAGCCTTGCTCCACATACACTGCTGTTGGGTTTGTTTGGTATTTTACTCCTTTCCTCAGAGGAGTTTCATGCCTAGCCGTCATTCCTGTCTGCTTGTCACATAAAGGGTTTCCTAATTTATTGCTCTCTTTCATCTCCAGCCACATCAACCGGAAGACACAGTATGAAAACCCAGTTCTTGAAGCAAAGAGGAAGAAACAGCTTGAGCAACAGCAACAGCCACCAGAAGGTTGGCATCACCAAGGGCATGATGTTTGGGGTTTTCATGAGGGAACGTGCCCTCCCTTGCCTTGGCAGCACCATGCCCATGTGTTTGTCCCTCCTTCTGTGGCCTTAGCATTTAAAGGCAAAATGACATGCATAGGAAAGATTGCATATGCCCTTCACATATGATGCAGCAAAAGAGAAAATCTAAACTGTATAACCACTTAAACATAGTAGCTTTCACCCCTGTTAAAGGGGAGGGATTTTTCTTTTAATGTCCTTTGTTTCTGGAAAGTTTCTAGGCTTCCCAGAAACAATTAAAACACATATTTTGCTCTTTAATCTGCTCCATCAAGTTACTTGCTGTAGCTGGTGTCGTTCCTGTCTGCATTGGGACTCATAGGCTATCGAAAGGGATGAGGAGTGGGCATTTACATGCTCACTAGAAAAACCCCTCTGCATGAGAGACTTCTTAACCCAAGACCTTAGGATGTTGCCAAGCTCTAACATCTGAAGTAATTTAATTATTTTAAAATATTTTTTTTTCTTTTTCTTCCCCTCCCTCCCCCCTTTTTTCTTTCTTTTTTTTTTTCCTTTAAATGCAGCCCAACTGCAGTGAGGGGCCTGTGGCATTTGGGTTTGTTTTGGTACCTTCATAGCTTTCACACCAAGTTATTTCACAACAGTTATTATCCAAGGGGAAAATAATTTAAGCTTCAACATTCCTCCTGCAGTCCCATTGCCTGCAACATCAGCTCTTCTACTTAGATGCCATGAGTGCCATGGGGAATAGATTTCATATAAATGTTGAGACCAGTTAGATGCAAATGAAGTCCCAAGTTTGAGTGTGAGGTAGGGTGTCCCAGCAGATGGATCAGTTGACCCGGACACAGAGAGTCCTCCAGATTTGGTTCTTGAACATCCTGTTCATTTTATTCCCTCTCTCCGTGATTCTGTTTCCTCTCTTGCCATGGTTCTCATGTCTCCTCTGCTTGAACCCCACACTCCCAGTGTGTGTCCGTGCAGGAGCTCATAGTGCTGTTGTGAAACGAGTAACATTTCCCTCTCTGCCCTCTCTAGAATGGACAGAGGAGTGTCCATCTCTCCCACCACCCGCTGCTCCAAACCGTGTTTCAAACAACCAGGAGGCAGTTCGGGAAGCACCAGTGCAAGGTAACAACCTTGTTAAACCAGTTGTAAAAGTGCAACAAGTTTTTTTTCCTGAGAATGAAATTCCCTCAGCCACCAGCAAAGGGAGTATCTCCATGACTAGTGTCACACACCAGGGCACGTGCCTGCTTATCTGAATTGCCATAGATTTTGAGACTAGTTGTTTTGAGACCACATTTGTTGCCAAATGCAAGAGGTAAATGAGATCACCTGCATCAAAAAAGGATTGTGGCTATTCTCTGCATAGCGTTCCAAGTCTTTAAAAAGGCATGGTGAAAACATGAGTTAGAACATTGGTGGGATTTAACAGCAACTGCGGTGGATGCAATTGCAAGTAGGAGGAGACCCTTCTCTATAGAGCTGTATGGATATGCAAGGATTAGGCTTTTACACCTTCTAAACTCTACTGGGTTTAGAATGTGGCTCTTATAATAAGATCTAGTGGAGAGATTTCTTTCTGTTCCCATAGGTCAACATTCCCTCCCAAAAAGCAGCAAAAAAATCTCACCATGTTGCTGTAATTTAGACACAGACATGCATTAACATGGCCATGTTCTAGTTTGAGAGCCAAAGCCAATGTCACCCCATGTCTGCATTCATGGGCAGGTAGAGTTTCAAGTTAACGTAGTTTAAGAGCCCTGGAAACTGGTCAGCGTGTTTGGGAGCTGTGATGTGCATAGGTTGTCGGCACTGTTTGGCAGGACCTTGGCTTTGGAGTGACATCTGCGCAGCCAGGTTCTGGTATTGCCATGGATGAGTCTGGCTTGCGGCTTTATGGGTTTTCCTTTTTCTGTGCTTTGAATCCAAATGAAAATTTGGGGGAGGGGGGAGGAGTAGGAGCTTGGGGGAACACCAGAAGAGGGAGATCCTCTGCCATTCGGAGAGCTTGGCAGAGCTACCAGGCCTCCATGCTGAATCTGACTTTCTGTAGTAATAGAGGGCGAAGAGGCACCAATGCCTTGGCCACGTTTTAGGGACAAATTACATTGTGTTTCTGAAAAATCTGTGCTGAAGCTCCTGGGAAGCTCTGCATGAGGAGGGAATGATAATAGGCCCAAATACTGCAGGCCTACTTTGATTGAAGTTGTACATGTGTACAAGTACTTTGGGCTACTACAGCCTTATTTATTAGTGTCAATGGTCTGTGTATAGCCAACTGCTCACAGACCAGTCACTTGTCTTAAATAACTAACCAGACAGGACATGAATTGTTCCTGAATTTGCAGCGTGAGCAGAAACATTGCCAGATCAGGTTGCCAGCAAGGGCAGAGCGTTCTACTTGTACCTGTTGCAGTACAAGTGCTCTCGGTTACAAGTGGTTGTAAGTAGGCTTCATCTTTGGCTACATTTAAATTGCGTAGCAAGCGAATGGTATTGCCCCCGTCTGCAGGAGCCAGAGACTGGGAAAGGTGAGAGAGGGGGAAGCTGGCTGGAGCATGTCATCCTGACATTGCTGGGAGCAGCCCGGGGGAGGCTGGCCCCGGGAGCTGGGCAATACTCCCGTGCTCTGCGGGTCAGCCGTGGTTTCCGAACATGAGCCTGGCAGGGGTGCTGCTGTCCCGGGCTGCCTTTCCTACCGTGAAGAGCCAGGTAGCAGCAGATCAGCCCTTCCAAAACAGACGTGCAAAATTTAACAGTATCCAAAGACCCCAGCGCATTTCTGAGGTGTATTAGGGTACGTTAGAGTAATCCAGTCTTGCAGCAAGGAAAAACGCGGAAGATCTGGGGATGGTACCCTGACCACCAGGCGCCTGGGGTTAGGCATTTCATCAGAGTGCCCCAAAACAGCTGGTCTTCCTTGGGGAGACATCTGTGAATGCCACCTCTGCCTTTTACACCGTCAGGCTGAAGCGAGGGCTGCCCAAGTGTCCATGCATGGCAATGCAAAGGACCCGTCATGCAGGGGATGACGTTAAAAGCCTCACTCAGTTCTCTACCCACTCCCGACTGCCAGCCACAAAATTTTGCAGTAACGTTACAGGAGAGCATTAGCCTGTCTCAGCACCACCCTGAGTGACATGTCCTGGTACCCGCTGATGACTCTTCCTCTCTTTCATTCCTTCCTCTTCCTTTCTCAGTGCTGCTCCCTCTTCTCCCGCTCCCCATTTGCAGCAGCTGTTTCCAGCTTCCCTGTCCCCCTGCCCTGTGCCTAGGGGTTTCCGTCTCTCCCACTGATGGCACTGCTAGCGGGGACGTGGGCACAAGGACTCCTTGTTGCGCCCCTGGCACCACTTCCCAGCTGGGGTTTTATAGATACACTCATTTAAAATGTGGTCCCCTCCCAGATGCTGCAGGTGGGATATAGCCTGTGGTGCTGCTATCCTGTTAGTACAGGGCAAGTTCACCCTGTATTTGTAGGCAGGTGCCAGCAAGCTGTGTTAGTCCTGCTTGTCTTTTGAACCAGAAATCAGCACAGGACCAAGTCCCACTGCACGCTGCCTCTCAGCTATGTTTGTTACCTGAGACGCTGGGTTGCACTTTGATAGTCAGGGCTTTTTTGCAGCTTGGGGTCTGAGCAGAGCATCTGCCCGTGATGTGCAGGATTACCGTGTTCCTGTGCTGCACTTCAAAGGCAGAAGACTGCAAGTCCTCACACTGCCCCCTCATGAATAATCTTCAAATGTACTTTTTTTCCCCCAGTCAAAGGCTTACAAGTCTCAAATCCCCTCATTCTCCCTCAAGGCCTCCTTTCTGAACAGAGGCCCACGGCAATGCTGCCGAAGTTTTTGAAAGTATGCCAGCTCTCCTGGCTGCGATACACACTGCTGATCCTGGAGCTGTCACCAGAGGGCTTAGTGGCACAGTCTTTTCCCCTCTAAGCATTAAAAACAATTAAAAGTGCAAAGGTGTTTAGTGTTGGCACTGTGAAGTACAGCAACTGTGTTTCCTTTTCTGAGCCTGTGCAACATGCTTTGCAAGGATACGCTTTTGTCTTTGGAGCACCTCGTTCCCTCTTAACCATGCTCCCAGAGAGCATTAACAGCCCTCCAGCACAGCCGCTCCAGTCCTGGGCCGCTCTTTGATCCGTACTTCACAACAGCACTGTTTCATCCACAACAGGCAAGGAGCAGAAAGGAAAGAGAAAAGACTTCAAACAGTGTCTGAAGAACAACCATCAGCGCCCTCCCCTCTTTCACCGGAGGAGGTCACAGGGTGGTAGCGATGGTGGGGCGGAGGGGGGCATGCTAAAGGGTTACTCAGTGTCCTGCCACAGCTCAGAAGTTGCTTTTTGCTCGGTGGGTTGGGAGAAAGCCAAGTGGTAAAAAACATACTGATATTCCTTTCTGCAGAAATTCTTGCTGCAGACTCCTTCTGTAGGAGGCCTTTGTGCTGCCCCTGTCCCATCCTTCCTGGGATGGATATAATCACCTCAAGATGGACAGAAGACACATATCTAAGCCAGCATTGCCAGCTTTAATATATTCCGTTCCTTAACGCAGCATGTTTTCCCCTTTGTAGCCTTGGGACTTTGGTGTGCACAACCACAGCTAACAAAGCACCAGGTACTAGGGGTTTTGCTCACTCTTTTTACTGCATGATTGGATCCAAGGAGACAGGTGGAGTGCGATGAGGTGAGAGGATGCTGGAGTGAAGTTCAGTCCCATCCCAGCACACTGCTGTGTTTGTCCGTGTACTTGTTAGAGCGGGGAGGGGCAGAGAAAAAACAGATCAAACACTGCCTGCCTGTTTATAGATTTTTCCAAACTTCCTACACAGGAAAACCTTTTTTTACACGAAACCCTTCTGAGTTGAAAGGGAAGTTCATCCACACCAAGCTAAGGAAAAGCAGCAGGGGTTTTGGCTTCACCGTCGTTGGAGGGGATGAGCCAGATGAATTTCTCCAAATCAAAAGTTTGGTGCTTGACGGCCCCGCAGCACTGGATGGCAAAATGGAAACAGGTACCGATGCTTTAAATCAAAATCACCACCACCACTTTGGTTTATGTTTTTACAGCTGGTTTTATGTGCAATTCATAAAGAACTTTAGTCCCCATCCCTTTTTTGGGGAAAGGCATTCAGCTTTCCCATCTGCAAGCAAGGAAGTGAGATACATTGAGGGATATGTTCAAATCTTATAGCAAGGCACTTCACATGCTGGAAATTCACTTCAGGTGTCAAAATATCTTGCTGGGGGCTCTGCCAGCTCCTGCTCTCCCCACGCTGACCTGCGGTGAGGAGCCAGCGGTCGTAGGGTCCCGCGTCAGGCTGCGGGTTACTGCGCCCTGCTGTGGCGATGGCTGTGGTATTTTTGTAGGGCTGCATCACTGTGTGTTTTGTATCTGCCATGCCGCTCACCCCCTCTCCAAAGTTACTCCCAGGGAGTGGGAAGAAGAGTGGGCTGGTTTCCCTATGTGGAGGCACCAAGGGCCAACTTGTTTTGCCAGAGATTAGGCCCAGCATGATGAAATCCCTGTTAGGGTTCACCTGAGGTCACAACTCCTCACTTGCAAGTGGAGCACCACAGCACTAAACATCCTTGTGTTGCAGCCTCAGTGTTAAAAAATGAATCATAACTTAATCAATACCTAGATTTCAAGCCGAAGTGTGTCTGAGACATGACATGTGGCACCGTATTTGAGCAGTTGGTATTTGAGAGCCTTCTGTTATAGCTCTCATGTGCTCTCAGTTTTGTTTCTATCATATGTCAGTGTAGCACAGTGTGTAACAGAGAGAGCCCGGCTTCGAAATAACTGTTAAATGGGCCATATACCATCATTTGAATTTATTAATTTTTTGCGTGAGGCAATTCCATTTTCACTTTCAGAAACGTTTATGTACATAAAGGCTTTACGCAGTGAATCTGTTGTGTACAGGTAGTTCTTGCTTCCCCAAGTGTCACCGCTCCTTTTCCTTGCAAAGGTACTTAAATGCTACTGTATACCTGCGAGTGGTACCTGTGGATGCTGCAGATCAGCTTGCAAGCTCTAGTCCTCACCTTCCTGGGGTGCACAAAACGTATATGTTTGGTATCTCTGTCTGTGTCCTCTGCAGGGGACGTCATCGTCAGCGTGAACGATACCTGTGTGCTGGGGCACACTCACGCTCAAGTTGTGAAAATCTTCCAGTCCATCCCCATCGGTGCCAGCGTGGACCTCGAACTGTGCCGAGGCTACCCCCTGCCCTTTGATCCTGATGATCCCAACACGAGCCTGGTTACATCTGTGGCAATTTTGGACAAAGAGCCGATCATTGTGAATGGCCAGGAAAATTATGACTCCCCAGCAAGCCACAGTAGTAAAACAGGGAAAGTAAATGGCACAAAGGAAGCAAGACCCAGCAGCCCGGCTGAGGTCTCTTCCAACGGACCCCATGGTTACCCCAATGACACGGTCTCTTTGGCATCTTCGATAGCAACACAACCTGAACTCATAACTGTGCATATAGTGAAAGGGCCTATGGGCTTTGGGTTTACTATAGCAGACAGTCCCGGTGGGGGCGGCCAAAGAGTGAAACAAATCGTGGACAGCCCGCGGTGCCGCGGCCTGAAGGAGGGCGATCTTATAGTCGAAGTCAACAAGAAGAATGTGCAGAGCCTCACTCACAACCAGGTGGTGGATATGCTGATTGAATGTCCTAAGGGAAGCGAAGTCACGTTGCTGGTGCAGCGAGGAGGTAAGTCTTTGAAACTGCTTTAAAATATTTCTTCTTGAAAGTTAAAAAAAATGCATGTCATGAAAGACCTGCTCTCCTAAGCTTCTCTGTAGGAGTGGTTTATGTCCTGAGGTGTAGGAACTGCCCCAAGTTGGCAGTTGTCAGATCACATAGATGGTTAAAATTATTTATTGTTTGATGCTGCACTGGGGGGAATTTGCACGTAGTTCCCACACGCACGTGCGCTACGCGGGTCTTCTGGTAATGCACAAAAGGGTGGCATGGTTACACCTTTACTTCCATGACAAACCCTGATTTCATGCTCGTAAAAATTATTTTAAATAGAACGTGGACATTTCTTGAGCTGTTTCGGGAGATGGAAGAGGCTGGTAATATGTTATGTCATATGCAGTGTTCAAAATCAGATATCCAATGACTTTTCACCGTGGAAGGGTTACACTTGGGATACAGTTGGAAGTGGAGGAGAGAGTTTAAACTTCTCCAAGTTGTAAGCAATTGAAATGTTATTTCTGGACATGTTTATTTGCCGAGGAATCGGGAGCTGAGCTCATTTTTGGTTGCATTGCTGAGAGGCCACCAGCAGGTACAAAAAACCAGCCTACAGGCAGTACGTCTGCAGCCCACATGGGAGCACTGGGAGCGTGGGTGGTAGGTAACCTGTCCGTGGGGTCAGTCCATCTTTCCCTGTACGTAGTAAGTGTGAAGTAATCTGAGGTAGCACACTCAAGCTTGCAGGGGAAATCCATGTCAGCTCTTGAGTGCAAAGTCAAGAGCAGAGGGGTCAGCTCTCCCTCTCTCTGCTCTGGCATTGGCAGCGGGGATCTGAGAGGGGCAAAGCCCCGGCCCCGCTCTGCCCCCTTTCCCATGCAGTGGTTTTTATGGACAACACGCACGTTGGTGCTCAGCGCCTCGCATGCTGCAGAGACAGAGTTAAGCTGACAAGGAGGTGCTGGACGCAGCCCCCAGCCAGCCCTGGGAGGAGTGTTTGATATAAAAGTACTTTTCTGATGCCTCTTCTAAAGTGTTTTGATTGTAGTAAGTTAGCCACAAAAGCCAGTCCGTTTTAATGGGGGACAAGCTGCCTTCTAAATTTGCAACTCTGGTTTGTTGTTTTTAAAGACCTATTTCAAGGAATTGAGGAGATTAATTCTGCAATTAATAGTAGCTCTGGGGAAAGCACTGCCTTTATTATACTCCCTCCTTTCCAAGTGCTTCCCATGTTTTTGTGTTTTGATAGTAAATGAAAAAGTAGAGAACAGAATATATTAAGAATTCTCCAATTTTCGAAGTGTGAGTTCCTTAAGGACTTTCAATACTAGAGAGGTTTAAAAAATGCACTGCGTTCTCATGATTAATATATGTATTATGAAGAAAATGTGGTTGGAAGAAAAATAGCAGCTATTATTAATCCTCCTGGAGAGCGTATATATATCTGTTAACACCATACATTAATTATTTGAATTGTGGCTGGCATTTAATAATCCTCCTTATGCCTTGAAGGCATAATGAAAAGATTTGATGAGGAAATAAAAGCATAGTTTTAATAAGATAGTAAATAGTTCCGTGGTAGTCTTGCTGAATCTCACTCATCTTTTTTTATTTAATTGAGATACTAACCACATGTTGAGCATTTGCTATCACCTTCCTAGATAGATACTATATCATTCCCCTTGAACTGCCTCCCTCCCTCCTTCAAGGTCCTGACATTTCCATCTCAGCATAGAGCACTTGCAATTCCAAATTTCACGCTCCCGTGGTACAGGACTCAGAAACTGTGGTGGCCCTGGATCCACGGTTGGTCACTGAAACACGTTTTTCTTCACGTCCAGAAGGCGGCTGGACCAAAAGGCACACAAACCGTGGCACAGAAGCCAAGCAGAGTACGGACAGCGATCGTAGCCCCAGCATCAAAAACAGTCAGGTTTCTTTAAAGCTTGTAAGATGGAGCTGGCTAAAATGCACCTGGCACTCAGCGCTGCTGCACTTGTGTCCTTTCTCCCGTAACTTTGCCTCGTGTTACCCCCGCCAAGTCTTTTATCAGAAGTACCATCCCCAGACAAGGTGCCGCTGTTTATTTTGGTCCGATTACAGAAATGTATTTGGCTCTGGTGTCTGACAAGCTCCTTCAGGGCTCTTGAAGCAGTTCTTTAGCTTCACTGTCAGTTGTCCTTTCCTCCTCCTCCCTCTGGTGTCCGGTGAAGAAAATGCTCAGATGCTGTCAGGCATCCTTGCATTAGCCTAATATTTGCATTCAGTCAGGCTTTGCGTGAAGCATCCCTGCAACACTAAGGCTGGTGTTCAGAGCTGTCGAAAGGATTTGTCAGAAGTGATTACTAATCAGGCAGAAAAATATCAGAAAGAGATGTGTAATATATGGGAAAAGCTCTGCCTGCTCCAAGCTACTGGTGCACTCCCAACAGCGAGGTTTAATTGTTAAAATGCAAACCCACAGCTGCTGAGAGCACCCTGTAAAATATTTACTGTAAAGTGTATTCAGCTGAAGCGCTGGCTTATGGGAGGGGGTGAGTCCTGCCGTTGCCTTTGAGCGAGGAACAGAAGGGTGGTTTCAGGAGGGGTGAAGCTGAAATGCCCCCTCAGTGTGCTCGGTTGCTCATGTGTCACCTGAAAATCATTTGCAGGACTCGTACAAGATCAGGGCAGGGGGATAAATACATTAAGAGAGGAACGATGTCAGGTCATTGAGATTGTGCTTTCCAGAAGCCCCACAGAAAACTTACCTGATCTATGTTCTGGTTTATTTTTTATTTTCCCCTTCCTCCTCCCCTCGCTAGGCCTTAATTGTATTATTGCTGTTGTTTTCCTATTTCACCTATACATAGTGCTGGATAAAACTCACTGAGCACATCTCATGGTTTGGACTTCAGCACTTGAGGGGTTCAGGCAGGATGAACTCTGAGCAGAGGCAGGGGGCAGAGGAGCGAATCGGGCTGTACGCAAGACCAGATCGGGAAAGCTGCTTTTGCTTAGCAAAATGAATGGACAGAGAGGACAAAATTAGTGTCTCTAACTATTAGGTAGGAGAGACAGGAGATACTTAAACAGAAGAGAGATCTTGGCTGAAGAACAACTGGGCGTTGTTCGGCTGTGAGTAATTTAAACTGTAAATAAGAAGAAAGTGCCAACCCATTAGAGCTTGTAAATCAAACCGGAGGAGGCGTAAAGCCTTTGCGGCCTGAAGGTGAAGTCAGCACCTTTGAAGGGGATATGACATGGTGCCTGCAACAGCGGAGGAGATGCTTGATAACCCAGCAGGACCATTCAGGGGCTGGATACGTGAAAGTAAACCAGTGCTACTGGTTACAAAATGCAGAATTAAGCATATGTTTTTGTCCCTGCACTGCACAATGTGATTACACCTTTCAGTAATTTTAAAGAATTATTGTTAATAAGGCCACAAAAGGCACACCTTTATTTTGAATATTTGTAGCTGAAAAGGTTCTTTTAACCTTGTACCTACAAAGTACATAAAGTACTTTTCTCAAAAAAAAAAAAGGCAAAGGTAATAATATTTGCCACTTGAAATCCGCTGGATACGTGAAAGTAAACCAGTGCTACTGGTTACAAAATGCAGAATTAAGCATATGTTTTTGTCCCTGCACTGCACAATGTGATTACACCTTTCAGTAATTTTAAAGAATTATTGTTAATAAGGCCACAAAAGGCACACCTTTATTTTGAATATTTGTAGCTGAAAAGGTTCTTTTAACCTTGTACCTACAAAGTACATAAAGTACTTTTCTCAAAAAAAAAAAAAGGCAAAGGTAATAATATTTGCCACTTGAAATCCATTTGTCATTGAAGTCTTGTCTACGCACAGTAATCGACTGAAATAAGCAATTCTCAAATACCTCTCCATTTTGCACAGATTCTATTAATAATAAAAGAAACATTTTGTCAGAATAATTTCCCTGCTTCCCAAGGGACTTTTATTGTGGGAGTTGTGTCTGTGCTGGGGCGGGTGGGGGGCTGTTTCAGAGCAAGTTATTCTGCAAAGATACCATGCTGTATTTTTTGGAGTCACTAAGATCTTACATTTGCCTCAGTGAGAACATTTGTGCATCTTATTGATGTATTTTGTGAGTTACCTCAGGTTAAAGAGGATTATTTTTTTCCTTTTTTTTCCCTTTTTTTTTAACATCAGTCTCCAGGTCATCCAAAAATTTTGTGATTAGTTTGTGTTCAGTTATAAGAATTATGCTGAGCAGTTTTCATGCAGGTTTGAATGGACAGTTTCCCTTCAAAGCTTTCACAGTTAGTGCTCACTAGCATCTTTATTCACCAGAAGGTCGAAAGTAGCATAAACCTTGAGCCTGATCTACGTAATCCCCTTGAAGATGTGTTCCCACTTTGCTCCAGATCAAAGTAAAAGCATGCAGGTGAAATGTCACTCACATGTCATGTGCAAATCAGTGGAGTTTCTAATAGCTTTCCCTAGTGCCAAATTCACATTAAACTGGGGAATGGAAATCCATCTTCTGAAAAATATAAGATATATATGCTAGAGTTTCAAAACTAAATGTATTTTGTGGGAAGAAGAACCAATGCAACATTACCTGTCTAAATGCCTGTCAGTGGGTGCCTGGGTCTTACCTCCATGTAAAAGCAAAGCCCATAGTAAATTCCCTGCTCGTGGTTCCATTGAATGGAAGGTGTTTGTGGGGAGCGATGAGGTAGGTGGAAGTGGGGAGAGGCCTGTGCCAACAGTCCTGTTCATTTGGTCCTTGACTCAGTGGTCTTAAGAAGGTCCTTGTGATACATAAAACTACAACAAAGATTTGCAGCAATGGAACAAAATGACAAAGCTCTAAAACAATAAACCTATTAAGCCTCCTTAGCTAGATGGGCCTTCCCTTGCTGTTCCGGTGATGCTCTTGGCACGTGAGGGTAATTAACCTCCAACACTTTCCACAGAGAAGAGTTGATCCTCCTTCTTCTGCTGAAAATGCATGCTAGAGTCAACTGCCCTGGACTTGAAGGCT